CAATAGAAACAAAAACAAAGACTATGTGATCCAATAAATGTAGAAAGAGGCTGGGTGCAGTGGCTCATGCCTGTAATCCTAGCACTCTGGGAGACTGAAGTGGGTGGATTGCCTGAGTTCAGGAGTTCAAGACCAGCTGGAGCTACAGTGAGACCCTGTCTCTAAAAATAGCTGGGCATCTAAAAGTAGAATATAAATGTCTTAACACAATAACTAAGAAAATGCCATGAAGGCTATGTTAACCAGTTGGATGAAAATATTTCAAATTGTATACAAAAACACCACACTGTACCCCATGATTGCATTAATGTACACAGCTATGATTTAATTAAAAGAAATAGCCAGACATTGTGATGGGCACCTGTAGTCCCAGCTACTCAGGAGGCTGAGGCAAGAGGATGGCTTGAGCCCAAGAGTTTGAAGTTGCTGTGAGCTATAACTCCATGGCACTCAACCCCAGGGTGACTGAGTGAGATTCTGTCTCAAAAAAAAAAAAAAATGCAGAAAAAGCATTTGACAAAATTTAGCATCCTTTTTAAACATGAATACTTAAGAAAATAGGCATAGGTGGCACATTCTTAATTTGATTGAAACCATCTATGACAAACCCATAGCCAATATCATACTGGAGTCAAACTGAAAGCTTTTTCACTTAGAACTGGAACCAGACAAGGATGTCCACTATTGCCACTGTTATTCAACATAGTTTTGGACATTCTAGGCAATGTAATCAGTCAAGAGAAGGCGATTAAGGGCGTCCAAATGGGGTCAGAGAAGGTAAAACTCTTGGTCTTTCCCAGTGATATGCTCTTATACTTAGAGAGCCCCAGAGACTCAAACACAAGACTCCTGGAAGTGATCAAGAAATATAGTAATGTCTCAGGGTATAAAATCAATGTCCAGAAATCAGTAGCCTTTGTATATGCCAATAACACCCAAGTTGAGAAGCAAATCAAGGAAATCATTCTCTTCACAGTAGCTTCAAAGAAAATGAGATAGCTAGGAATGAATATACCTAACAAAAAAGGGGAAGGATCCCTACAGAGAGAAAACATATGAAAAGAAATAGCAGAATACATTTACAAATGGAAGAACACACCATGGTCTTGGTTGGGAAGAATCAACATTGTGAAAATGTCTGTACTATTCAAAGCAATCTACAGATTTAATGCAATCCTCATTAAAATACCAACATAATACTTTGAAGAACTTCAAAAAAATAGTTTTGTTTGGAAGCAGGGAAAAAACCCACATAGCCAAGGCAATTCTTAGTAATAAAAAGAATGCTGGAGGCATCACCTTACCAGACTTCAGGCTATATTACAAGTTCAGGAATCAAAGCAGCATGGTATTGGCACAAACATAGAGATATAGACATATGGGATAGAATAGAAAACCAAGAGATGAAACAAGTCTCTTATAACCAATCTGATCTTCGATAAATCAAACAAAAACATACACGGGGGAAAAGAATCCCTATTCAATGAATGGTGCTGAGAGAACTGGATAACCACATGTAAGACTGAAACTGCACCCGTGCCTTTCTCCACTCACTAAAATTGATTCAAGATGGATAAAAGATCGAAATCTAAGGCATGAAACAATAAAAATCCTTGAAGGAAGTGTGGAGAAAACACTTGAAGGTATCATTCTGGGGAAAGACTTTATGAAGAAGACTCCAGTAGCAATTGCATCAACAACAAAAATAAACAAATGGTACTTAATAAACTGAAAACCTTCTGCACACACAGCCAAGAATACAACAACTAAAGCAAATAGACAATCTTCAGAATGGGAAAAGATTTTTGCATGGTATGAATCTGACAAACGGTTGATAACTAGAATCTACAGAAAACTCAAATAAATCAACTAAAAAGAGCAAAAAATACCATCTATCACTGGGCAAGAGTCATAGAACCTTCTCTGAGGAAGACAGACGAATGGTTAATAAACATGAAAAAATGCTCATCATCCCTGATTATCAGAGAAATGAAAATCAAAACCACCCTGAGATATCACCTAACCCCAGTGAGAGTAGCCCTCATCACAAAGTCCCAAAGCTGCAGATCTGGCGTGGATGTGGAGAGAAGGGAACACTTTTACACCACTGGTAGGACTGCAAACTAATAGAGCCTCTTTGGAAAGAAGTATGGAGAATCCTCAAAGAATTCAAAATAGACCTTCTATTTGATCCTACAATCCTACTACTAGGCATCTACCCAGAAGAACAAAAAATCACTTTATCATAAGGACATCTGCACTAGTTTGTTTGCAACTCAATTCACAGTCACCAGGATGTGGAAACAACCTAAATACCCATCAACTCAGGAAGGGATTAATAAACTGTGGCATATGTATACCACGGAATCCTATTCAGCCATAAAAATGATGGAGAGTTTGCATCTTTTGTATTAGCCTACATGGAGTTGAGACATATTTTTCTTAGGAAAGTGTCACAAGAATGGAAAAGGATCCAATGTACTCTATACTCACATGAAGCCAGTAGAGGATCTAATATATGACCACATAAGAGAAAAGCTCAATTCAAGTTGGGGAGGAGGAAGGAGAGACGGGTATTGCTCCCATTTAATGGGCACAATGTAAGGGTATGTGGCATCCCTCTTGGGTGTGGAACACAACTACAACAGGGACGTGACCTAACAAATGCAAACTTTGTAACCTAATGGTTTGTACCATCATGTTAATTGGGAAAAAAAATGCATAACTTTTATTTTTCCCATATAGGGCTTTGTGGGTACACTAAAGGCTTTGTGCCCCTCACAAAGTTTTGTCATCTCTGGTGACAAAACCTTTAGTTTTTGTTAGGTCAAGTTCCTGTTGTAGTTGTCTCATACCTAAGAGGTGTGACATACACCCTTACATTGTGCCCAGTAAGACTGTGCCCATTTCTGTGAATACAGCTTTGTTCACCCTCGGCTTGCTCACAAGAAGCGATACTGGGAAGTGATAGGAGCTGAAGCCTGGAGTCAGAATGCCAGGGTTTTTTTTTTAACAGCTCTGTTTCTCAGAGACAAAAATACAGACTGGTTGACTTCACAAGCTTGTTTTGAGTTTAAAATAATGCTATGTGATGGTGTTATGGACTAAATATTTGTGTCCCCCAAATTCATATACAATCATGTGCCACATAATGATGTTTCAGTTAATGATGGACTACATATACAATGGTGGTCTGGTAAGATTATCATACTGCATTTTTACTGTACCTTTTCTATGTTTAGGTCTATTTAGATACACATATTCTTGCCTTGGTGTTCTAATTGCCTATAGTATTTAGTACAGTAACATGCTGTACAGATCTGTAGCCTAGGAGCAATAGGCTCCACCATGTAGTCTCGGTGTGTAGTGGGCTGTTGATACCTCCTAGGTTTGTGTAAGTACACTCTATGGTGTTTGAAAATCACTTAAGGATGCATTTCTCAGAATGTATCCCTGTTGTGAAACAGTGCTTGACTGTGTAGAAATCACAACCCTCAAAGTGATGGTATTAGAGGGAGCCTTTAGGCAGTCATAAGGTTATGAAGGTGGAACCCTCTCTTAATGGAATTAGTGTCCTTGTGAGAAGCGACACGACAGAGATGACTTTCTGCCATATGAGCAGACACTAAGAAAGAAGGTGGTTGTCAACAAGCAAGGAAGTGGGCCGTCACCACACACCAGATCAGCTGGCACCTTGTCCATCTTCCAGAGCTGTGAGAAATAAATGTTTGTTGTTTAAGTCACCCAATCCCTGATATTTTTGTTATAGCAGCCTGAACTAAGACAAAAGCCTTTTTTGCAAACATCAAGAGCTACACAAATACATGTGGTCTGGATGGCGCCTGTGGCTTAAAAGGGTAGGGCGCCTGCCTCATATGCCAGAGGTGGTGGGTTCAAACCCAGCCCTGGCCACACCCCCCTCAAAAAATAACACATGGTCATTGTTCACCTAAAACGAACAATGCTGTGGCATTTTTCACATGATGACACTTCTTATCTAAAGACATTTTGACTTATCTTTCTGCACATTGAGATTGTTTCTTTAAAGAGAAATAGAAATCTATGCCAGCTGTAGGACTTACCTTGAGTTTTTCATCTCTTCTCTCTCTTGTTCTATATATACACACTTATATAGAGATAAATATTTATATATATAAAATTTTAAAGAGTAAAATATTAGATTATCACTACTGTATATCTGTAACTTCAATTTTATTGTTCACTACCATGTGATTACTGTTCTATACAGATTCGGCATTTATATTTGAAGTCCACTGAATTTTTCATTCCTTTATTGTATTAAAAACAGGTGATTACAAAGGAAAGTATAGCACAGTAACACTTTATATTAATTTTATTTATATTGTTCATATCCATGAAAAAAATTTGTATTAACAGAAAAGCATTAGTCTTTGACACATATATTTCAAATGTTTAAACTGCACATTCCATGTACCTTTAATTGCATTAAAACAGAGAGACATTATGAAGGTGAATATAAAAACAGTAAAGCTATATCTTTTTTTTCTAAAAGAAATTTTAGGGTATTTACATAGCTCAAAATATTTAAATACTTTTCATATATAACCTTGAGTTGTAAAACTTAATATAACTGAGCTGCACTGATTCCTGTGTGTTTGGATTATAGCAATTCTCTTTCCCTTATTTAGTGTTGTTGTTGAAGAAATGGGTCTTTTGGATACATGATTAAGTGGGAAAAACTGCATATTTAATTCCAAAATATTCCTTTAGCCTGGAAAAAAAGTCTCTTTTGGAGTAATATTTTATAGTAAATCTAAAGCAGAACAATTTAGTATGTTAATGCAGAAATGCAAACAGCTTTATCGAACAAAATACTTACTGTTTTCTAGCTGCCTTACAGAAATTATTTACTCAAGAAAACAGAACAGAATTTCTCAGTTTCATTAATCAGCTTTGTAAATATTTTGCCAGAGCTTTTTTTCTTGGGGTATGGGAAGCAAATAAAAAAGTTTAAAGGGTCATATGTGTCTATTTTGTTTCGTCTTGGTGTATTTATTAAGAGTAAATTCTGTATGTCTTTGCAGTTCATCAATATGTGTGTTTAGGAGCTTTTCAAGTTCTTTTGCTCGCTTCTCTTCTTCCAGAAGGAAATGCTGTGCAGCCAAAGAAGCTGGGAAGGACATATCTGGGGGAGACTAAAGAGAGAAAGAAAGTGAGATGAGGAATATAGAGCCTTTTACCATTTTCATATTTCCAGGCACGCTTCATTTCTGACATGTTGTCAAACACTGCAGCTCTTAATGAAAGAATGTATCTTGAGCTGAATTCCCTCTACCAGTGTGATGCAGTCAGCACTAATGAAATCCTCAAGGAACTCAGTAAAATATCATAGCACCATTACATCAAAAAGGCCTAGAAGTGAATATTATAGTGTCCAACCGCAAATGCGGGGACAATGTAATCAGCATGGAGCCTGCCTAAAACATGCTCCACTAATTTCCCAATCCAATGATTCTCATTTGAAAATAGGCAACTCCAAACCTGTACAGTATTTGCACATTCCTGTCATGCTGCTGAGTCCTGCTTGAGACAGCACACCTAGCAAGTAGATAGGACGACTGTCTACCTCCGGGGAAATCATGCATGGGCCCTAATCTAGCTACCACTGCTGCTGAATGTCTGACCTGCTTGCAACAGAAAGGAAAGCTGAGCTCCTGCAGTGGCACCAGCCTCAAGCCCCTTGGTGGCAAATCCCAAAACCAAAAAACTGACTTTGTCCTTATCAGAACTGATAGCTCATTCTGTGGGTTTGCCTTTCCTGCCTGCAGGGCCTTGGCCTGCATCACTGAGGGCTCACTGAGTGACTGATCTGCTGACGTGGGATCCTGCTCAACAGTAAAGAAACATACTTTACAACAGAAGAGTTTGGCAATGGGGCCGTGACCATGGTACCCACTGGTCCCAACTACATACAGCACTACCACAGGATGCCAACATGATAGGGCTATGGGATAGACTTCTGAAGGCCCAGCTGAGGCACAAGCTTGGGGGTTAGATCTTTGGCGGATGGGGTGCCATTCTTCAGAATGTGCTATGGACATGGCTGTTATATGGGGCTGGTTTCCAACAGGTAGAATATGTGTACCTGGAAACAAAAAGGAGGAAATAGGAACATCTTCACTCTCTCTCACTTCTGTTGACCTACTTGGAGAATCTGTGCTTTCTTTCAATGTACCTTTAGGCTCTATGGGTGTACACTGGTCCTGGGTCTTATAAGGGTAAACCTTCCGCCAAGACAACTGTAAGAGTCACACTAAATTTAGAGCTTTGGCTGCTGCCCACTCCCTCTGGGCTCCTCACCTAATTATAAATGTCAAGTACAGAAACCATATCCTAACAAAGGCATGGTAATCATGGGCTCCCCCTACCGAGACAAGCAACCTGGACTGGCAGAAGAGCTGGCTGACGGGAGAGGAATGGAGAATGGGTCAGGAGATACCAAGTATCAGGGAAGGCCTTGAGGACCAGCCTCAGCACTGGGAGCTGCAGTTTATCAATACTGAGCTTCTTCCTACAGAATTTCCCAGAAATTATGACCTGTCAGAATCTTGAAGAAGCTATGCCTACATGGAAGGAACAATGTGGAAGAAGGTAGATCTGAGTGGTGCAAGAGGACCCTTCTGCCAGGTTGGTGAATCTCTTCCCAATGGCTGTAGGTGTGGGCCGCTGACAGCTCGCAGCTGACTCCTCTGGAGAACCACTGTGGGCTGCACTGGAGGCTCCTGTCTCACCTGGAAGGCTGCAGTTCCCCCTGCCTATTCCTTCCCCTTTCTGAGGCAATGACTGACATAGGCACCCACAAAAGCCACCCTTCTTGCATCCAGGGAACAAACACTGTGATGCAATTCATGCTCTCTGCTCTCTGGGAGACTGGGCTACATTAGTCTCCTCACCTTTCTCTCCTGCCTCCTTCACTCTTTGTCTCCTGAGAATACTCCCTCAATCAGTCGTTCACAAGAATCTCACCTCAGCTTCTAGGGAACCCAACCTCCTAGATCCTGGCCTGAGGGACTAGTGACACAGATACTATTTATACTGAGAAAGGAGAAAAAAGAAACCTTTCAGGATAAGGTCTTATTTCTTTCTTATTCTCCAGGTTCTTGCATATACTCTGGGCCAGAGTGTGTTTTCAATAAAAACTGTGAGTTGGTACATAAATGAAAAAGCATTCAGGTTTGAATAATGTGGAGTTTAAGGTGACTTGGGACTTGAACAGACTGTCAAGTGGACAGAAGAATATTGTTAGTCCAGGTCTCAGAAGACAGGTCTGGATCGGAGATAAAGATTTGGAATTTGTAGATGACAATTAAAGCCATGAGATTGACTGAAATTATCCAAGATATGTAAATGAAATAAGAAGAAAAGTAAGTTAACAATGGAGCCCTGGGAAGTCCTTCCTTTCGGGCACCTGCTCCCATGACTGTCAGCGATGGTGACTGCGTCACTGACTACACGAGATTAAAGCAACCTACCCACTGCCCTTCTGCCCTTCCAGCTTCTTCAGCCTTGTATTCCTCCTCCAGCATTTCTTCACTCATTAAACACTCTTCTTTTCACTGTCTTCTTCATTTCCTCCTTTCTCTGCTTACATTCTACATTCATCATTACAATCATTCAGCAACATGTCTCTCCCTGTTTCCTGTCTCTATCCTACTTAAGTAAAACCCACCCCTGACTAAACTGACCCACATGCCTGGGTCAAGGCTGCATGTGAGCCGCTGAATGCTGGGGAAGACAGCTGGGCTGGGCTGTCAGGAACTACCCATCATGTGGACTAGTTTCCCTTTATCTTCATGGCCATTGGTCAGTCAGCACCGCCAGGCAACTCTCCTGTGCTCCCCTCGCGTGCTCACTGTCTTACTCATTCCCTCTGACCTGGCCTCCGCCTCCCTCTCATTCCGTATCCATATGCCCCTGCTGCTATGTTTCAGACACTCATCCTTCCACCTATGCTCTGGGTCTTCTTACTCTGCTTCTGCAAATGAGCTCCTTAAGCCCCACCTTGGGGTAAGGAACCTGAGCCCTCAAGGTCACATATAGCCCTCCAGATCCCCTTGACCAAATCCAAACTTCAGTTTATTAAAAAGATTTGTTGGGTGGAGGGAGGGGGTTTGGAGGGATCACTTCTGAGGTTTATCTTATAGGGGTACAAGTGAATCTTTCTAAGAGTAGAATGTGAACGTTTTAAAATAATAACTGAGAAAATGACATGAAGGCTGTGTTGACCAGTTTGATGGAAGTATTTCAGATTGCATGTGAAAACCCCACACTGTACCCCAGAAGTGCATTAATGTACATAGTTACCATTCAATAAAAAAAAAAAAAGATTTGTTCTATAAAATTGGGACTCAGTCAAAAGGCCACATTCAAGGATCTGGAAGACCACAGGTTCCCAAACTCTCCTCTGCTCCTTGAAGATTCCCACGGGGTCACTGTACATTTAGCTCAAGGCTTCGTCTCCTTTGCTTTCTTTACATACGCTCATCCAGTCTAACAGACTGAAATACCAGCCATATGCTGATTATTCCAATAACTCTATTTCCAGCTCTGAACCCTTCCCCTGAATCTTCTAGATTCACATATCTTATTGATACAGGGTTCCCCCCTTCAGAGCTAGACAAGGACTACCCATTTTCTATGCTTGTCCAAACAGGCCTTCTCCAGTCTGCACTCTCTGGACCCCAGCAGGATCATAGAGAAGCAGCCTGAACAGGATCTCATCTGTGTGGTCCTTCCCAAAGTGGAAAACATACACCCTGCCGCTTCGCCTGGGGCACAAACTGTGTGGACCACACTCAATGCTAACATGTTCACTCGCTAATCAGGATGGGCAGGCTGTTTGCTGTCTGGGGCTCCTCCAGGCCTCCCTTCCTCCCACCCCAGTAGTAGTATATGAACCCCTAGACAAAAGACCCACAGTTTTACCACTTGAGAATCCCCCCTCTGCTGCCACAGACTTTGTTCCCCTTTTTGCATGTCTTTCTCTGTAAATAAACTTTGTCCTGTCACTCATTCACATGGTCTGGGGTTTCATTCTTGAATCTCCAGACCAAGAACCCACTGTAGCTAGAAAAAGACCAGTAATGCTATTGCCTGTTTAACATCTACATTTGGACATCTAATAAGCATTTTAAACTTCAGTGTCTAATCTACCATGATTTCTCCTCTAACCCTGTCTCTACCCAGTGCTCTGGCTGAAATCCAGGACCTTTGCCCTCTCTCTTCCACTCACTCCCCATATCTGACTCATCGTTAAGTCTGTTCTACCCTCTAGAATTTCCTGGATCCAGCATGTCACTCTGCCTCTACTGCATCAAGCCGGTGTCAACACCTTTTGCCTGGATACTGAAATAGTCTTAATAATAGTCTTCCTTTGTTCCACCCTTGCCCCTCTATAACTTACCCTTTATTTAGCAGATAAAATGATCTTTTAAAATATCTTAAACAAATCTGTTTATTACTAAATAGAATAAAATCTTTTGTTGTTTTTTAGACTGAGTCTCACTTTGTTGCCCTCAGTAGAGTGCCATTGCATCATAGCTCACGACAACCTCAAACTCCTGGGCTCAAGTGGTCCTCTAGCCTCAGCCTCCCGAGTAGTTGGGACTACAGGTGCCCACCACAACACCTGGCTAGCTTTTAGAGACGGGATCATGCTCTTACTCAGGCTGGTCTCAAACTCCTGAGCTCAAGCAATCCACTGGCCAGGCCTCCCAGAGGACTAAGATTACCGTGAGCCACTGTGCCTGGCCAATAAAATCATTTTAAACAAAGTAACAGAATAGTATCTCCCTCCACGTGAAGCTTTAGAGTGGCTTCCATTGTTTTAAAATAAAATCTAAACTCCTCCTGTGGTCTGAGGTCCCTCCCGTCCTGACTTCCCTGCCTGCTCCTATGCCTTCTCATTCCGTTCTTCCTCCTCCCTGCTAAGCTCCAGAATGCCCCCCCAATTCTGCTGGCTCGATGCCAAACTTGTACCTGTCTTAACACTCCCTCACCTGAAACTTTCTTCCATCAGATCCTTGCAAATCTGGACCATTCCCCCCTCACTCTTTAGGCCTCACCTGAAATGTCCTCCCCCTCAATGATCACTTGCCTGGCTACTCAACCTGCAATAATGCCCCTACTCCCTATCACATTACCTGCACAGTATTGATCACTATTTTATATTTTCTCATTTGTTCATTTATTTCTAGTCATTAATTTTTCTCCTTTTTTTGTTTTTAAAATTCACACAAAGTAAAATTAAACATTTTAAAATTAACAGTTCAGCAGCATTTAGTACATTCACAGTGTTGCACAGTCATGACCTCTTATCTAGGTCCAAAATATTTTCATCATCCCCAAAGAAAACTCTGTCCTTAATAAACCATCGCTCCCATTGCCCCTTCTGCGGGTTTCCCCACTCTGGCTGTCTCTGACATGTGAAACCCTGCAGTGTCTAGCCTTTTGCATCTGGCTGTTCTCACTGACTGAGCATGTTTTTGAGCTTTATCCACATTGTGGCTCATATATGTGATTAAGCCCTTAAAAATCAGTTTTAGGGGGCTGGGCGTGATGGCTCATGCCTGAAATCCCAGCACTCTGGGAGGCTGAGGGTACATTGCCTGAGCTCACAGGTTCGAGACCTGCCTGAACCAGAGCCTCATCTCTAAAAATAGCCTGGTGTTGTAGTGGGCACTTGAGCCCAAGTTGGAGGTTGATGTGAGCTGTGATGCCACGGCACTCTATCCAGGGCAACAGCTTGAGACTCTGTCTCAAAAAAAGAAAAGAAAAGAAAATCAGGTTTTGGGCGGTGCCTGTGGCTCAAAGGAATAGGATGTTGACCCCATATGCCGGAGGTGGTGGATTCAAGCCCAGCTCCGGCCAAAAAAAAAAAAAAAAAAAACAATAAGGTTTTTTTGGTGAAGAATATGCCAAGTCCCTTTAGAGATTCTCATAACTTAAAGAGGTGTTAGTTTTGTTTATTGGTCTGAGTTTTTCTTTTTTATGGGAGTATTTTTTTTCCCCCTTAAAAACAAACAACTGGCTCAGCGCCCATCACCCATATACACTGGGGCTGGCCAATTCAAACCCGTCCTGGGCCTGCTAAACAACGATGACAACTGCAACAACAACAAAAAAATAGTGGGGCATTGTGGTGGGTGCCTGTAGTCTCAGCTACTTGGGAGGCTGAGGCAAGAGAATCACTTAAGCCCAAGAGTTTGAGGTTGCTACAGCACTCTACCAGGGGTGACAAAGTGAGACTCTGTCTCAACACCCACCCCCCCAAAAAAACAACCTACCAAACCCAAATCTAAACTTGAACAGTTCTACATTTACATGTGCTCTGTAAATACTAGTAATCTGAAAATAATGCTTGACTGAAATTCCTTTCCTTTTCTCCTTAGATAGTAAAATTAGTACCATGCCTTGCTGAGGGAAGTGACGGATGTAAATGCCAGTACAATGTGCTGCTATACCATCTGTGAAGTTCTAGTCTGTTCAAAGCATGTTAGCATTTTATGTTGACATGAGCACAAGAGAGCCTTTCAGGGTTTTGAGATGTTTAAAACTTCAGAAGTTAACAGGGTAAGTCTTCTTCTACCACAATAGCTTAACTCTTACTTTCATTCTCTACCAGTCCAAGGTGATAGATTTCAGAAAAGCAGAGAAGTATTCACGGGCTACCCCGTCCATTTTGAATATTTTCTGTTGTGTGTGTGTGTGTATGTGTGTGTTTATAATTTGTATCCAGTTTTAGTATATCATGGAGAGAAACTGAAGAATTACACAGTATACTTTGAATACAAGTGAAGGTGATTGCTAAAATAACACTACTTATTTTCTGAAGTGAAAAATCTACATATCTTAAAAAATATTATGCTTAATAAATTAAATTACAAAGCAGAAAATTTTAGCAGAGAATTGGAAACTATAAAAAAAGAACCCAGTGAAAATTCAAGAACTGAAGAATTATTGAAACTGAAATAATAGCTGACTTCTCATCAGCATAATCTGTTACCAAAACTTGGCAAAGACAGAAAAGGAAAATTACAGGCTAATTTCTCTCATGAACAGAAGAAAAATTCTAGACCAAATATTAACAGACCAAATCCAGAGATGAAGTGAGGTGCATTCTAAGAATGCGAAGTTGGGTTGATGATCTAAAATCAAGATAAAACGTCACCATTGACAGGGCAAAGGAGAGAAATTATGTGGTCATTGTAAAAAAAGCAGAAAAAAGCATTTTATCAAATCCAATATCTATTCATGAAAAAATTTCTAGTATCTAGGAATAAAAGGAAATTTCTCTGATAATGTAAAAGGCATCTATAAAATATCTATAGGAACTATCATATACAATGGTGAAATATTAAAAGCTTTCTTTTTATAGTTGAGAATGAGAAAAGGAAGTTTGTCACATCTACTAAACATAGTATAATAAGCAAGGAAACGAAATAAAGGTTCAGGTTTAAAGATTTGAAAGTAGGAATCAAACTGTTATGATTGTGAACATAGTTTAGAACCATTTATTCTAGTCCTCCTGGGTTAACTGAGTATTTCCATAGGAAAAAGGGATCAGGAATCTTACATTGTGAGCAAATATTTATTCTACTTGGATTATAGATCTAAAATATGAAAAGTAAAGAACCAAAGCTTCTAAATAGAACATGGGATAGTATTTTTATAACCCTGGCAAAAGTTTAAAATAGGACAGCAAAAATACTAACCATGAAAGGAAAGATTACTAAATTTGATTCCATTTTAATAAGAAACTTTAGTTTATCAAAAAATGCCATTAATGCCTGTGGCTCAGGGGAGTAGGGAGCTGGCCCCATATGCTGGAGGTGGCGGGTTCAAACTCAGCCCTGACCAAAAACTGCAAAAAAAAAAAAAAAGCCATTAAGTGAAGAGGCAAGTTACAAGAAAGTTTATTTATTTTACTTTATTGACATGAAATTTTATTCTGCTTAAATATTAAATTAAATACTAAATGTTGGCATTTTATGTTGAGATGAACACAAATGACCACTTCAGGGCCATGGAGATCTCTAAAACTTCAAAACTTAATGATTTTAAGCCTTTTCCTTCTACTACAATGGCTTAAATCTTACTTCCAGTCTCTACTAATACAAGATGAGACCAACATAAAACCAACGAAAGGGATATTTCCAGAATATAAAGAATTCTTATAAATCAGTAGTAAAGAAGACAGTCCAACAGAAAACTAGGCAAGGAAACTGAACACTTTACAAAGGAGAATACCAAAATGGCCAATAAACATGTGAAAAGGTACTCAACTAGATTAGTCACCAGAGAAGCGTGAATTAAAACCACAATGGGATATTACTGCACAATTGGCATAATGCCTAGAATTAAAAAGACCTGTATAATACCAAGTGTCAGAAAGAACATAGAGCAAGAGACTTCTCATACCCTTCTTGTTGGGGTACTGATTGGCTCAGACAGGAAAACAGTTTGGCTGTAGCTCGTCAAGCTCACCATTTCCATACACTATGACCTGGGCGTTCCGTGTTGGGTACAGTCAGTGGAAATGGGTCTGCACAGGCACAAATGTCTTCAGCAGCATTACTTGTATAGCCCCTGATTGGAAATTACTCAAATGTCCATCAACAGTAAAATGAATAAGTGAATTTTAGTGTCATTGTGTGTGATATTTATACATTACATACAATAGATTACTATAGAGAAACAAAATCAATAAACTACATCTGTATACAACAATATGGATGGTAAAGAATCTCAGAAATAATATCTGAGTAAAAGTGACCGGACACAAAAAAACACACATAGTATTATACACACAAACATACACATACGTTCATTTAGAAATGGGTCAAACTGACGATGCTGAAAGTCAGGACCATGATTACTTTCGGAGCAAGCAGAAGGACTGCAAGAAGACATGGTGGGTGCCTGGAGACTGGCACTGACTGTCCCGTTTACTCCCTGGGTGGTAGTGGCATTCGTGTCTTCCCTTTGTGATAATTCATCCAGCTGTTTATTTGTGATTAGTACATGTATCTGTCTGTATGTTAGAGTCAATGAAAACGATGTTTTTAAACAGGTGCTAAAGTTCACTTGCAGCTCTTTAAAATATACAGATCCTTGAGAGGGTGAGCAGAGGGGAGTCCCAAGCACTTAAAGAAAGCATCACCAAGAATTCTGTCCTGCACTAGAGGTAAATAACCACTGACTAAATACTTCGCGAAACATTATGGATGTTTTTTTCTCCTCTAGATAGGTATGGCTAGATGACTCACAGACCCATCATGGAGTCCTATTCAAGGAGTGACATTTTTTTGAAAAGAGAAACAGACAAAAATAAAAATAGAGAAAACAACCACCACCATGTACATCAGTATAGTGGCATCAGTGTGAAAGTAAAGTGACCACCAATTAAAGGAAAAAAAAAAATCTGCAACCAGCAACTCACCAGTGGGAATACTTCCTCATCACCAGCGAAAGGACCTGTCATTTCTTTGTTTTGAATTGTCAAAGATGCCAGTGACGGGGTTGCACTTCGATCCGGGCTAAGTCTAAGGAGAGGAAACGGTTGTTATTTTTACGACCCAGGACACATGTTGACTGGCTAAGGATTTTAATTTGTCAGATGTCTAAAGAGGGGAAAAACACAACAAAATATTTGGGCTTATTGTCTGGGTATCTCTGAAAATGACTTTCCTGATGAATAATTTCCACTTAAAAGACAAAATGATTAAAAATGAAGCAGAAACCTTACCGTTGAATGTTTTGCTATCCTTATTGCCTATATTGCTTCCTTTTCTGTGTTTTACTTTTGTATCTCTTTTCCATTTCCAATAACATGGAGCCAGTTTGAAAAAAAATCTCAAAACAGTCACTCTGCTGCCCTTGACAGACTGGATACTCTTTTTCTATTCTCCACTACACTTAACCTTGCTGGCTTTCTTAACATAATTATACTTTTCTTTAATCTAAAACAAGTCTTTATAAAACAACAACTTTAATTGCTACAGGACATAATAATTTATAATTTAATTTTATTTATTTCTTATTTTTTTGAGACAGGGTCTCAGTCTATCACGCAGACTGTGACCTCCAGCTCCTGGCCTCAGGAGGTCCTCTTGCCTCAGCTTCCTGAGTAGCTGGGACTACAAACATGCACTGTTACACTGGTCTAATTTTTTCTGGTTTTTGTTTTTCTGTTTTGCTCAGGTTGGTCTCGAACTTCTGAAGTAATCTTCCCACTTCTGTCTCCCAAAGTGCTGGGCTTATAGGCAGGAGCCACCATGCCAGCATTATGCAGTATAATGACTTGTTCAGTGCTTTTAATCATCATCTCCTAAACATCTCCACTTATTCACTGCATACCGAGCAGATGAATCTCTCTGTGGCTTTAATTTTCTCATTTATAAAAAAAGGGTTGTTATGAAAGTTGAATGATCAATACATGTAAAACACTTAAACCCAATGCTTGGCGCATAGTAAACACTTATAAATATTATGTATTATTATTATTTTTAAACTCATTTGATCTTCAAAATAACCTTAAAAAGGTGGAAACTATCCATAGATGAGGAAACCAAGACTTAAAATATTAATCGGAACATTTAGTTTTTAAATCAGAATAATTTGCAAAGAAGTGATAATTTTAGATTTTAGACTCAAATCAAGGTTTTCTTGACTTCAAACCACACAATTTGGAGGAAAGTCATAGAACAGAATTTGATTGTGCTAAAATACAGGGTAGAAGAAGATGAGAATGAAAAAAAAAACAGTGAAATTTTAAATTTTGTTTTGCTGACTAAACAAATGAATAAAACAAATAAACGAACAAATTTACCCTAAAATTTTATAAAAAAAGGTCCTGACCATATAGGCTGTTTGGGATTAAAAAATATCATTTACGAAAATGGGGTGTAGATATAATCAATTATCAAAGATCATCAAAACAAAAATTCCTTCAATTTAAAATTATTTATTTTTACTAATAATTCAAATTCCCCATGGATATTGATTAACTATTTTTTAAAGCCTTCGTATTTTAACACAGTTTAAAAAATTCACATTTTTAACTGTTCTTATGCAAAGACACTATCTGATTTATATGGACTTATTTCTTATTATGCACACATTTTCAAACTATGCATACAAATAGTAATAAAAGTTAAGTGATGCATCTGTAAATTAGTACATAAAAACAAACAACGTTTTTCATTTTTATTTATCTTGAAATATATCTTTTTATTTTCCCCCCATTCTCCCAAACCATAATTACCATGGAAACAGAACAGCAAATTAAATGGAAATAACATGGTTTATGATGTGCACAATAAGATGAAACATCTTGCAATTCAAATAGAATTCTAACAATTGCACAGTACATCTGCATATAATCTTTAGCTGAACCTTTTAATTTGAGTGAGGCTACTATTGATACTTCAAAGCGCAGAAAAGAATTAAGATAATTATAGAAGCGATTCAAGAAATAGATGTCTATCTATAATCTCAGTTATACAGAGATTTTAGGCAAAGTATTATCTGTCCTAAATTACTTAAATGATTATCTTAATTATCTATTTTGCTTTGGATGTATAGATACAGTTTTATGATATTAATTACTAAAATTTATTTAGGAACATTCTTTTTATTATAAGATCAATAAAATGTAGAGATTGAAAGGGAAGACTCCATTATGAAGTAAAGTACTTTTGTTTTAAATCATCTTTATATCTGACAAGTTCTTCTTCCAGAATATAGCTATTCAAATACTTAATAGAATCACCTTGAATAAAATGCTACATATATCAATTTAAAAGCTATCTTAAAAATTATTTCAGAAGGCTTTGAATATCCTTTAACAAGCTGATATGTTCAGCTGGCTTTTGCATAGGTCCCATTCCAAGGCCAATGCTTAATTTTTCAGCAGAGCAGGACCTGGTTACTTTGTTGGGAAGCAGAATTCTAATATGTACATCCAGTCCTGTCCCTCCATTAAATTTTCCCTAGGCCACAAGATAATGTCCTTAGTGTGGACCAAGACCCCTTCACAAGCTGTGCTAACGTACCTTCTCCCAGTAAACTCCCTGTTCTCTGAACTGCTTATTGTTTCCTGGTGTAGAAGTGATCGACCTGCTACATTTTGCTTCTCCTTGAGCAAAGGTAGAAACTTTCCCAACTCAATTTTGGCTTCTGAATGACTATTGATGCCTTGACAAGGGATTGTATAAGTGGTTATAACAAACCTGATGACTCTATGGTTTTTTAGTATTAGACTCTTGAAATACATGTTAGCTACATTTGGAGCTGTTTTAATGACTAACGTTTATGATTGCTAAAATCTGTCTAGCACATGATACAACTTTTAAAACAAATTAACTTTTAAGTATGTATACTACTTATACACGATAAAACTCCATTTATTACAAAATTGATTTGTCATTAAAATTAGTTACATATTAATAGCTCCAGATGGCACTATTATAAATTAGCTTGTAAGTTATCCTAAAACTCCAAAAGTCTTAATTCTTGAAGACAATGTTTAAAAAATCCTCAGCAAATTTAATTACACCTCATTCATGTTTTTTATATATGAGTAACTATCATATTGGAAGGCAAATGCTTTGCAATATGCTAAAATGCTTCACATTTTAAGTAAGCATTCAAAACTTATCACTTTGAACAAGAGTGAGAAACAACAAAATTGAGTTTCTTCAGAGTGAATGAGAGATTATGTTAATAATATATTACACAAATCTCCCTCACTTAAAAGCAAGAATTGTCTTCAAATTACATTCTGGACTTCCAAATTTTGTGGACCATTACCTTCATCTATCTTTACCTAAAAGCTTTGTCCTTCCTCAAATAGTTAAATAAGACCTTACTGCATTAAACATTGGTATGTAAAGATGCCTTGTATTTTTAAAATTAATTTATGCTTAATAAACATAGGCACATATTGCTTTTACTATGTGACTTCACCGAGCTGTGCTGTGAGGGAAAGAAGACTTCGTTTTCACTTGCTAAAATTAACTGCTTCCCAGCTCTCCAGTGGTGAGTTCACTGTCCTTACATCTCAACAACTCTTCCCCCATAGTGGGTCCTCCATGACAATAATTTATTCAGAACATCTGAAATGATGTTTCTTTTAAAAACCAGGTCACTGGAGGACACTGAAATCAGACAAGGCATTAAAACAAATTTAATGAAACTTTCAACAAATGAAACTAGCAGGACACAGCAAGGCTTTGGAGCGGGAACAACAGTCCAAACTGCTGATCACGCTGGTCTCCTGCTGAGGGCTTTACCTCTTCTGTTGCTCTCTGTGTCTCCTACTGTCTTGTTTTTGTTAGACACTTTTAACACGTTCTGTACTGCCTAACAAAGAGGAAAAGCGGCAATCCCAACAATGAAAATACTTTTTAAAAATAATAAACGGCAGAGTAACTGTCTTTTTGTATAAATAGCAACACTTGGTGCTTTCATCTAAGGCTTTAAAAATTATCACCCACAAGCGAGAATAGGACACAGTATTCTGTGCCCTACGGGTGCTCAGCCAGTGACTGACTGACGTAGCAGGAAGACCCTGTGAAGTGTCTTTAGGGCCCTGCTTTTCTTTTTACGGTGAGGAGACTGTATACAGTATATGGGAGCCAGGGTTTCTCTTGTGGGAACTGGATCCATATAGTAGGAAAGCACTTGGTAAAGGGTTTATTTATTCTATATTAGAAAATAAATTCTTACACCCAAATCAAGATTAGATCTCCTTGGACAGATTTCCTCAAGGGCACATTCACTGGAGAACTGTGTAGCCCGAAGCCCTCTCCCCGCCTCCCTATGCTGCTTTTATACGGCTTGCTACTGCGCCCAGCTTGTCCTCCTTCATTATCTTACTGAGCCACCTGACGAGGGGTTATTATTTAGCACTTCTGGATGGCTGCTATTTCTTGCATGGGACTAGAATACATTTTTCTAATGTATACAGGGTTGAGGTGGTGAAAACAGGAGAGCTATACTACACCCACAAGAATGCTGAACAAACATATTTTTAAATACTTTCCATAAATTTATGGATTTCTCTGTAGAACTGGGCATGCTTAATTGCAAAGATGGGCCTGGCACTGCCCCTCCCAGCAGAATTATCTTTGGGGAAATGTCAGATTCAACCAAAATATACTTTTTAGGCACTGTAAGTTGTGGAAAAACATTGATATTATTATAAATACTAGCAATTTTGATAGTAATAATGGCTAACATTTATGAAACTATATATTTTACATGGATTTTCTCCTATAATCCTCAATAAAATCCTAAGGTGATTAGCCATTTGTCTGGTGGAGAATAGAGGGTGACAAAGAGTAAGCAAATTTTCCGAGATCGCAAATACTAATTCTTTTACATGAAAGCAAAATGTAAGGTTTTTCATTCTAAGTATTATGAGCATCTGAGCAAATGTAATGAACTTGAGTTTGTACCTACTAATTTCTAAGCACTGTGGAATGTTAATAAATCTGCTGTCAGATAAGTTTGGGGAATGCTCGTTACCATAACTCCTCATGGAAACTCACAATGTAAATTAACATGTTAATGACCCTCACAAAGCCTGTAGAAAAGAAACTGGCTTATTTTATTAAGCATTTTCCAAGTTTGGAAAAACAGTGAAAGACCTTCAGAGACAGTTTTGAGTCCATAAATCTTTTTAAAAAATTGACTAAATTAGCCTATTTTTATGGCTGATATATTTAAATTTTAAAAAGCATTTGAATAATGTGAATAGGAGATATTCATTTTCCATATACTTCTTTTTGCCTGGAAAATAGAACAGAAGGTGTATCTTAGAAGGTGGGGGTAAGTGAAAATTACTTATCTGTGTATTCTAGATACCATATCAGCTTCCAAGAATAACCGTCTGAAGTGACCAACAAACATCCACTATAACACTCCACCCATTTCACTATTATTTTTTGAAGGCCATTGACAACACAATTTCTTAGAAAACAGTATGTCTGACCTACTTCAATTTATTATAAAATCAATTTTAAACAACTGAAGAGAAAGCATATAAAATTATGATTCAAATTCTTTAAAAATAAACTTCAATTACATGCTTTTAAACTTACTATCCTATATAAGGGAGCCACATACCTGTCTTCATTTTTTTCCATTTTCATTTGGCTTGGGTAGGTGTAGCTTCCTGCTTCCTCATAGGTATTTTGGTTAGCCCATGCTGATTTACCACTGGTATGAAGTTTTGCAAGATCATTTCGGAGCCTTTCATTCTCATATTCCAGTTTGTTAATAGATGTATGCCTGGAATGTTCCCTGTTAGTGAAGTCCATACTCTAGAGAACAAAATAAACTGTCATTGAATAAACTGTCCCTTGTAAGTAATGCATATTTTCTGTGTGTTTGGACACATGTGTTGGAAAGGCCCTTTGATTTCAGCCAGGTGATGTGGTGCTACTATTGCTCACCTCCTGAATGCTCTTTCTAATCCCCGCACCTGCTCACAACCAGCAGATACTCAGGGACAGCTGCTGCTGAACACCCTCTTGCAAGAAAAACAATGCATATAATACCATGCAGGCTCCAGCACAGAAAAGGTCTATTCCATGCATTATTGCTCTCTGTATCTAGAAATTAGCTAAAGTCCTTTTGTGTATATAGGGTATACTTCCTAGTGTTGGCTAATAATGGAACTAGAAATAACACATTTCAATTTAAAAATAATATATTTTCTGAATAAAATGATACATGGGTATGTAATAATATGTGGACATGTAAAATATCATACATGTTATCATAGAAAATATGTTAAGAACAAAATAAATATACTACAATATTGAGTAATAAATGCTATTAACATTTATATCTTTCTGGTCTTTTTTCTATCATGAGAAAATCCAATATAGTCAACATAAAGTATCAAATGTCAATATAATTACAATGAATGATGTTTATAAAATTATATTCCGTATACAGGCATGCACCACTAAGTGATGGGGATGTGTTTTGAGAAATGTCCGTCCTATTGGTACACTTTCTAGGCATGTTCATCGCTGTGTGACCACAGAGTGCACCTACACAAACCTGGGTGGCAGAACCTGTTACACACTGGGGCCGTATAAAATAGCCAGTCTCTTGCTCCTGTGCTACAAACCCGTACAACATATTACTGTACTGAGTACTGAAGACAACTGCAGCGCAGTGGTTACTGTTTGTGTGTCTGAACATAGAAAAGGCACAATAAAAATATGCTATTACACATAATCTTTTGGGATCATCATGGTATATTTGGTTCATTGTTCACTGAAATATCATTATGCCGTGCATGACTGTATAAATATCAAAAAGAAATATAATCAATATAAAATATAACACACATACTTACAAAATTGTAACTATAATTAAAAACCTGTAATATATAAAATGACAGGAGTGTTGGAAAGGCTTTCTGTTTGAGCCAGGAGGTGGCACGTGCTTGGGGACTGTCTTTTCCCTTTAGCGTTATATATTCTTCCAAACTAAGATTTTTAATGACTGCATTAGTAGAGGGACAACAAATTCATAGGCTATTCCTCTATTATTGAATAATTTGTTTTCAAAATGATGAATAACACTGTTGATTTCCTTCTACACAAATCTTGCTCTACTTTCTTTAGATAAATTCCAAGCACTGGGATCACTGGGTTAAACTGTATAAATGTTTCTGAGGACTTTGATAAAAAGTGTTAATTCTTCCCCATAACTCTCATAAATTCCCAATGTCATATTTCCTATAACTAATGTATTAAAGGGCCTATTTTATCATACTTGCATTCAATATTATCATTTTGTTAAATTTGCTAATTGAGAGATAAAACAGTAATTTCTATATTTGATTATTTTCTATATATGATTTTTGAATATATATATACATATATATATATATATATTTTTAGACAGAGTCTCACTTCACAGCTCACAGCAACCTCAAACTCTTGGGCTCAAACTCTTGCTTGAGCCTCCCGAGTAGCTGGGACTGCACCCACCACAATGCCCAGCTGTTTTTAGAGACAGGGGTAGGGGGATCGAAGGGTGTCTCACTCTGGTTCAGGCTACTCTCGAACTCCTGAGCTCCAGCAATCCCCCTGCCTTGGCCTCCCACAGTGCTAGGATTAGGTGTGAGCCACTGCTCCTGGCCCTATTCTACATATTTCACTGAGACCCAGGAAAACTGAGATAACCACGTGGTCCATCCTATTGGTACACTTTCCAGAGGAGAACAGGAGTCACATAGACCCATGAATGCATACACTGGATGATGCCCTATTCCTACTACAGGCCCAGCGTAAACTTTCTTCTTCTATATAAAAAATGAGCAGAGCTTCACAGTCAAGCAGAAAAATTCTGAATGCTATATTTACTTAGAAATAATCAATCATAAGATCAGTAATTTGTCTAGAAAGGGGAAAGCGATTATTATTTTAGTATTATCCAAATACCACATATTTATGAAACTTAAAAATACAATGTAATTTTTTTTTTTTTTTAAACAGAGTCTCACTCTGTCACCCTAGGTAGAGTGCTGTGGCATTATAGCTCACAGCAACCTCAAACTCTTGGGCTGGTGCAATCCTCCTGCCTCAGCCTCCCAAGTAGCTGGGACTACAGGGATGTGCCACTATGCCTAACTAGTTTTTCTATTTTTTGTAGAGACAGGGTCTCCCTCTTGCTCAGGCTGGTCTCAAACTCCTGAGCGCAAGTGATCCACCTACCTCAGCCTCTCTGAGTGCTAGGATTACAGACAGGAGCCACCGCCTGGCCAATATTTTGTTTCTTATTGCCTGAGGTAAAGTATCAGCACCAATTATTCAATTCTATGTTTATTTATCCATTCCAATTATTTTAGAAAGAATTAACTAATTATGGGATTTTAATACATAATAGATATGATAAAGTTTTCTTCATTTTAAGACAATAGAAAAAAATGCATCAAAATAAAATAAACCAGGAAGAGGACATTAATTGATAAAATAATAAAATTAGGAAAAATGGATGAAAAGAATAATAAATCCAAAAGCTAATATTTTAAATAACAATAAAATAAACCCCTTCTGAACCAGAGTTAAAACAAAAAAGAGAGAGTATGCTAAATTACAAGCTGAATAATAATAAAGGAAACTTAACCACAGAATATAGAAGAAATGAAAAGAATTATAGAATATAACAACTGTTGGTATAAGAAAACAAGTTGAACTGGGTAAAAATTTTCTTGAAAAATACAAATTACCAAAGTAACCTAAGAGTTGTGAAATCCGAGTATACCAACTACCCTAAAGGAGAAAATGAAGCTATGCCAGGTCCGGATGTTCTCACAGCTAAGTTCTTTCTAATATTTATTTATTTATTTTGAGAGGGATTCTCACTTCGTCACCCACAGAAACC